CCCCAACTGGGCTGCCCCGCGCGCGCCCCGCCTCGGCGCGCGCCCCACGCTGTCGCTGCTGGGCGCCTCGCGCCTGTCTTGCCCAATTCGCGGTTCTTTCGAGCCGCAGCCCCAGCCCCAATCCCCGAGGCAGCAGAGGATGGAAAACTGGAAGCCGATTAGAAAGGAAGGCAAAGGAAAGCAGAGGGAGACAGTGGCAAATGGGAGCAACAGGAGGAGGTGGGCATGCCGGGGGAGGAAAGAGGGAAAGGGAAACTAGTTACCGGGGGAGAAGGAAGGAGAAAGTCCAAAGTAAGCATCCAAGTCCCAAAGCAGAGCTCGATGACCTCCGCTGCATGGAGTGTTAGGGACACTTGAGCACAGTTAAGTGGAACCTGAGCCACCCGGCCTCAAATACACTGGTTTCTGAACCGTTGGAGTGTGAGCAAGCAGGTCTCGGACTCAACACCTGAGCCCGCCCTGCAAAGTATGACAAAGCAGCCGGGGTAATAGTCAAGCTGCGTTGTCTTTAGTAGCAACCTAAGCAAACACCAGGGGTTTTCCCAGATTACGAAAGAAAAGCAATACTCTTTCCTTTCTTCATCAACAAATATTCAAGCTCGATTAAATGTATGTATCTTGTACTTGTTTCCTTGACTTCCCGTCCTCGCTCTCTGAAAAAGTTTAAAAGCCAACAATAAAATCCCTAACCAACATCTCGGCGATGCAATGATGTTAATTGTGTTTTGGGGGCTTGCAGTGGTGACTTCTTCGGGGTTTTGGTTTTGTTTTTTGGCTTGGGGTAAAAAACACTTAGAAACATCTGTACTGCGCAGATCTTAGAGATAAATAGGGCAGGTAGTGTACTTAGTCACGAGTTGAAAAGTTTCATTTAAGTATATAATTAGTTCTTAATATTCATTTTTTAAAATTTCTCAATTAAAAATGCTTGGATGTGTCACGCTGGGAGGCAGAGCCGGGTAGATTGCTTGAGCTGATGCGTTTAAGACCAGCCAAAGCAAGAGCTAGACCCCGTCTCTAAAATTAGCCACGCGTTGGGGCAGGCGCGTGTAGTCCCAGCTACTGGGCAGGCTGACGCAAGAGGATCACCTGAGCCCAGGAATTTGAGGTTGCTGTGAGCTATGACGCCACAGCACTCTACCAGGGGCAACAAAGTGAGGGTCTGTGTCAAAAAAGAACGAATGCTTGGATGTGTAACAAAAGCAATCCACGTAACCAGAAACATTTGCATCACCATAAAACTTTGAAATAATAAAAAAAAAAATGCTTGGATGGATGAGGAGGCATATAATTGAGTCAATTCCATTCTTGGCACCAAAGATGCAGCTTAATAAAAAATAAAAAAATCAACTGTTAGAATTCATAGAAGTGAACCTAATAAAAATGGAAAGTATAAGTTAGTTGGATTGGACCTACGCCATGCCAAAACATCTAGACAAAGTCAAGTATCTGAATATTTGGAAACTGAAGACTGATTTTTGTCACCTTTGATCTAAGTGTGTGGGATCTTGCAAACAGTGGGGGTTGTTCATTCTACTCAGGAAAAAAAAGAAGCAAAAAGACAGTGATTCATTCAGTAAATATTGAGCCTTTGCGCCATACTATGTGCACAACACTGTACTTCTGTTGAAATCCAGAGTATACACAGGAAGTACGCTTCCCTCTCTCAAAAAGTTCATGAATTATGTCAGATATCTTGTCCATAATCAGATGAATAGCTACTATGTATTAAACATTTTTTAAGCACCCCGTACCATGCTTTATCTTAGCCCCTAATCCTGGCAAAATAATATCTTATTTGATCTTCACAGTTATGCTCTGAAATTGCTCATTTATAAATGAGGCAATTAAACCTCAGAAGTAGCTTGACCAACATCACACGCCTAGAAAGTGACATAGCCGACTCGGCGCCTATAGCTCAACTGGCTAAGGCGCCAGCCACCTACACCTAAAGTGGCGGGTTTGAATCCAGCCCGGACCCGCCAAACAACAATGACGGCTGCAACCAAAAAAAAAAAAAAAAATAGCCGGACGTTGTGGCAGGCGCTGTGGTCCCAGCTACTTGGGAGGCGGAGTCAGGAGACTCGCTTGAGCCCAGGAGTTGGAGGTTGCTGTGAGCTGTAATGCCACGGCACTCTACCCAGGGGGACAGCTTGAGGCTCTGTCTCAAAAAAAAAAAAAAAGTGACATAGCCAAGATGGGAATACAGCATATCTGATTCTAAAAACCATGCCATTATGCTATACTGCTTCTCAATACTAATGTATAATAACAAGGTTTGCAAAGGACAAAAGAGAGTGACATTAGACTACAGTAAGTGGAACTGATGTTAAACAAAAATAAGAATGATTGTCTGGAAAGATTAAAAGACACTGAAATATGTTAACAAGGAAAGATGAGGAATCTTCTTCCAAAAATATTTATGAGATAGATCAACTGCCTGGGATGATTGCACCTTAAAGACAAAAGAGATAGTTTAATTGGCTGGTGATGTGTGATTTCATCCCCAAATCTCATCATAGCTAGAATTAACTTTATATTTGAGGCAAATAACAATTCCTTGTCAGCTACTAGTGAAGTCAAAAGAAAAAAAAAGCCTTAATTTTTTTTTTTCTTTTTTTTTGGTCTATGTTGCAGAGTAGAGAGCAGATTTTTTTTTTAAAGCACCACAATAACTAGCAGGCTATTAGGGTGTTTGTGTTTGTGTGTGTGTGTGTGCGCGTGTGTGTGTGTGTGATTTATCTGTAACTCTCATGATTTAGCTTTTACTTTGTTTGAGACTGGATTGAATACAATAGCAGGCAAAAGGTACCGACTTACTTCCCACCCCACTAAAAAGTGATACTTCTAGAGTAGACAATCAGAGCCATTTAAACATCACACAACAGTTTAGCACAGGAAGCAAAGTAGGATACCATGGATGGCTGCTTCTGCTAGGGGAATTTAGGAAAGCAGAATGTAATCTCCCGATTTAGAATTTGGCCAGTAGACAAGAGTCTAACGCCCCTACTCTTGTGAAAATAGCAAGGAATCTTTAATAAGCACCAGTAGTCATGTCCTTAGTTCTGCACTTCATCTAAAAGACAAAGCTCTATCATGGCTATTGTGCCAGGCTAAGGGACCGATGCAATGGGAAACCCAAAGACAAGGACACCCCAGCTAAAGTGCAAAAATAACTTTGCCCCCAAGGATTGTTAACTCCAACTCCAAACCTCGCTACCATAAAGAAGATAGACAAACCTAAATGTCATCATTGCACAAAAGCCACCATTCCCTAACCACTAGGGGTTACTATCTAAGTACTTTGTTCTATTGGCTGGCTAAAAAGGGGGGGGGAGGACACTAACCTTTTTCTCTGTGTTCCCTTCTCCTGAGCATGGCTCATCTCCCATACTAATTTTGATCCTCAAGAAGCTTTATAAATGCGCTGGCAAGTAGTGGTGGTGATGATAATGCCTCCTTTTAGCCTTTGAGGAAATGCCTCTCCTGGCCTTGTTTGTTTATGTGCAAAGTCACCAGCATAGAAACATATTTCATTCAAACACAAATGAAATTCACAGAACAAACTCTGTGAAAAATGTTTTTGTTTTTTTACATCTATGCAAAGTGCACACTGGATAGGAAAACTGACCTTGCTTAGGATTCTCTTGACTTGAAATGTAAAGGTCAAAGTATGACAGAGTACATGTGTTTCTACCCACTGCTGACACTGGAGTGCAGTGATAATACCCTCCAGAGGAAACGTGAAGGTGCCTTCTGCTCTTTGTAACTGACTGTCAAGCTGGGAGCTAAAGATTCCATGTTTCTTTTAAATAATAATAATAATAAAAGTAAATAAGCCATAGTCTCTTTGTAAACAAAACACATTCAAATTGTAAGCACTTCTGCTTCTCCGTTTTACCTCTTAAATTGCTATGAACTATGGTCAAATACTTGGTTTTACAACTGTGGAAAAACTACTGGAATCGAGCTCATGCATTGTCCTTACCAGGAGGTACCAGTAGAAATTACATTAAAATCAAATAGTTGCTGATTACATTATCATTGCCACAATTTATTCTCATATTTACAACATAGTCTTCATTGTAGAAAACAAGAATAATTATAATTTGCTGAGGTAGTGAACTTGATATTGCAAAATTATTTTCTTTAGGTTACTGGGGGCATGGGTGAGATGAGGAAAATTCCCATAGTTCATTGAGAAAAGGCCTACCATTTATGCCCAAACAAGTGTTATTTTTATCTTGTGTCATCAAACTTTCTCAACTGTCATCCTTGAACAACTGCGGAATGTAATATTCTTAGCACTGCTTTGATCTAACCTTGTACACATATAACACATAGTTGTGGTAGTGGAGGCGGTGATCAGCTCCCTTTCATATTTGAGGCAATGTGCGAGTAAATACTAAAATTCTTTACCTATATTTCAGTTCAAATTGCTCAGTCTTTGTTTTCCTAGTTACAAACAGATCCTTGCCTCCTAAATCCTTTCTTTATCTAACAAACACAATTATGAACCAAAGAACCAGGATCTGCCTTGTACTTTTTTTCCAGTTGTTTCATTTACATCTTCTAGTGTCAACTGGAACGCTTACTGAATGTTGTTTTACTACCTGTTTCCTTGGGACAAGGTTCTATAAACTCTAATAAGATTTAGATATGCTACTATCTACTCTGAATGTGGAAGTATTGATAAAGATAGCTCATTGTATGTTGGAGAAGAAATCTTTTAGGGAGATCATCAAAAAGAGTATTTGAGGGGGGCAGTTAGACGAGTTTTCAGCCACAAAAATATGAAGGTGTGTAGTGTAACTTAGAAAATCTTTACTTGACTATTTTTCTCTTTTCTCTTTTTAAAAAGAATTCTTCTACTAGCTTCTATGCATATACTGGGGTGTGAAAATTTATATACTCTGACTGTGCCTAACCTCTAACTTATATAGGAAAACAACTATATTTTTAATTGTTTTAGT